TTTTTTTTTCTGTGTGTCTCCTAGCAGCCAGGAGCAAGTGCTCCTGGCTGCACGGAGCAACTTATCGATTTTTTTTTTTTTTTTAAGTATGACGTCAATTTTTTTCTTTTTGTTTTTGGACGTAAAAATTCCTAATAAAATTATTATCGCCCTACTTTTCCCCATTTTTTTTCCTGAGGCACGTTGGCATCCTTTTTCTTTAAGGGGTGGGTGATATTGAAATGGATGGTGCACATTTTAGCAGTAGCCATTGGAGGAGGAAAGCTCTCTTAATCATTGAAGAAACGAGAAAGCTCCCGGATCCTTATCTGCCATAGAGTTCTAACTGTTGGGAATCTACTTATACATGCACAGGGAAAAATTAAAATTATTTTGATTCCCACCGAGAATCCCTTTGTGTTTAGGTAAAAATCGTGATAAAGATTGTACCTTTGAAGAATTTTGCAAACCTTTTGCTTTCTTTTCGTTCCAGCAATCTTGATTCGCCACCCACAGCTGTCCAATTGTCCAACCTCCAATGGTGATCCACACAGAGAATAAGATTGCAGCTAACAGAGTTTTCTCCTCTTGTGCTAGTAAGAATAATTATGAGAATGAAAAATCATATGGATTGAAAACTCTAGCCATATATTTATATATGCTCAAACGGGCATGGCCCGGTCCGGTCCGGTCCAATATTTAATTAATCCATTTAATTAAATTCGGTCCGTAAATTAATTAATCCAATTAATCAATTCGGGCCTATAAATAAACAATCCAATTAATTAATTTATCCAACGATTGTTAAATTAATTAATTGACAAATTGTAATCTTCCAATTCTTTTTTGTGTGCGACCCATCAGGTACCCATCACGATGCCTAATGACGTGAAATATTATTTTTGATCTAATCAAAATTGATAAATTAAAACACCCTTTTAATTTATCGTCAATTCACACTCGCCGTCCCATATTGACATTTAGCAACGTGTCAGGACAATACATGTGACGGAAAATGTCACGTGGTTTACCGTGAAACTATAATCTTTTCGTCAATATGATCCGATCAATTATGAGATATGGAAGTGTGTCAATCTCGATTATCGATCATATTTTTCACTCCACTATTAAGTCAATATAAGTCAAAAACTTCTTTTCGACTTATGGGTACACCTTGACCAAGGATTTCATCATTGATTTAATTGAATGAAATGCAGATCATAATCTCCTACTATTTAAGAGTGACGAATCCTTTATTGATCAATCACAACCTTCATACGATTCTTGACGTGCCCGAACGATGTCGTATTAACGGCCCTTTTTAGAGCAACATCCAACACTGTCAAAGTATGATTGTTCTCATATAAGGTACCATGACGACCTCAAATCAAAGGATCAATTCAACTACCGAACGTTAGAGATTAACCACTTACACTCAGATAGTTATCTGTGTGGAATCTCTCGGCGGGTTTCCAATGTTTTGTTCTATAACAAAATATCCACGTATTTATTTAAGTGTCACCACACTTTAACTTGTGAGAACAGCTACTTACTTCACAAGTAAGAAATGCCATACGTGATGGTCTATCCGTAATAACAATGTCCGTATCTCGTTATTACTTACGATCACGGACGATTTAAGATTCAATCAGATGTAATTTGTATCTCACAATCACAACTTCTCATGATTAACAAATTACAAAAATTTGAATCTATGAACTCTATTATTTATTTAATTGTCTATTAATTAAATAATAGATCTGTCATTAAATTGTATTAATTATATATCAAAAGTATTTATGTCCAAAGTTGATTGGATTTAGGGCATAATACTTACACTAACTTTGTTAGAGCATCACATCATAGGCAATTGCATGGGTTCTTCTACAAGAACTGAGCTACACTCAGTGCATATGGTATTTTCGGTGGTTTCTGATTCTTAATTCTGAGCACGATTTTTTAGATGTAAAATTCATTAATCTTTGTTCTTAATAGCGAAGTTTGTTTTGTATATTTGGTTTATAAGTCCCCTTAATTCTTCTTTTTTTCCTTGTCTTTATTATTTGGGCTTACGAATTTATTCAGCTGGAGAATTTTTTGACAGTCATCTCACTAAGCATTTTTTATTTATTTTGAAATAGAAGAATTAATTATTTTAGTTGATTATTTCTTTTTTATTTTTTAAATTTAAGTGAAACAATAAAAATTATAACGATAATCGTCACTAATAACAAATTCTACACCCACTGTTATCATGATTGATATTTCGAATTTTAGTTTTGATTATTTTGTTTCAAGTCAATGGAGGACTTCAATTAATTAGATTTTATATGAAAGAGGAATTAATAAAAATTAGTTGAAGTAGTTGAAGTTATGCTGGTTAGTGTTAAAATTTCTCAACAATATGCTAATTTGTTTGAGTGTTTTGGTCTCCATAGGGAATGTGCTAAATTACCTTGAATGATGTTCTTTCTAAGGAGTAAATATATTTCTAAATTATTATCAAGATTTAATCAATTGCTTCAAGTTTTACAATTCAAGATTGAGAAGTCGTTCATGAAATGATTGTATAAAATAATTGAGTGGTGATGAATTAATGCTATGATCTCATTATCTCTTCTGTGAGTTCCTGAAGCTTCAAAATTTTCCAGAAGTTCATTAGGTCTATCCAACATAAGTGTTCCCTCTTACAGTGACAAAGGCAATGTTCAAAGCCTCCCTACTCCATTTTCAGCAGTCAATAGTTGTAGGCCGCTAGTCTCGCGGGCCAATTGCATGCAGGCAACCTTCCAATTGAATATTGACTGGCCAAGACAAGCGTTCAAAAAGATTGGAAAATGTAGAAAAATGAACTAAAATGAGGCTCAAAAGCAAGCATATGTGTGGTCCAGAGAAGAAAGAGTGTCACAGGAACATATTACTGTAGCAAAATCGGATAAATTGAATACAGTGTGAAAAGCTATGTGACATAAATGAATAGTAGAATCAAAGCCCCTTTTTTAAGAGGTGGTAGATTATACTTGCTAACGGTAACTTTTGTTGAAAGATCTGTCCAAAAATATTAATTAAGTTGCATACAAATTTTTTCATCGAAAAATCTCTCGATATTTAAATATCTTTGTTCGAGTAATAATTAAAAAAAATTATGTTTATAATCTATTGGTAGCTTAAGCAACGAAAATTGACTATCAATAAATTTGCATTGCTAAAGATGCAGTTTCTTATATATAGTGTAGTACATGCTTATCAATATGACTAGATGTGGTCCGGTTCGGATCGGATTGGATCGGTTCATCGAACCGAACTCGAATTTTTCGGTATTTAGTAAATGAAACTGTTGGATCTAAATTTCATTATGGTACCTTTCGGGTTCAGTTCGATTCGGTTTGATTAAATTCCATTCGGTCCCTGTTTTCCATACAATAATTGAAATTTTTAATATTTATAACGAGACTACATTATTTCAACTGGTGATATGTTCAATTTCAACTTTTACAAAATAACGTAGTCCAGTCTTATGTATTTTTTACGTCTCTTTTTGTTGAGCTTTTCATAAATTTGATTGTTAAAATCACATGAAAAAAAGATAGCAAGCTCACCATAATGAAAAAAGACGTAATCGAGCTTCTAATTCGATTTCTCAAGATCCGTAGAAATGGCACTATGGTAGAATAATAGATATGGGTAAAATTTTATAGATATGGGTAAAATTTAGGCCAATTTGATTAAATTGGGTTTGTGATGTAAATTAGAAATTGGAAAATCACATTTTAGGTTTCGACTAAATTAATTAGTTAGCAAATTTATTTAAAAAAAAATAAAATAATTTGACTTATATAATAAACTTTTAGTAACTTTTTCTTGAGTAAAGATAAAGTGTATAATTTGTACAAATCCTTCAATTTTTAAGTCGAGAACAAGTTACCTACTTGAACTCCGTTCTTTGCACCAAGCTATATTAAGCGGAAACTCTTCCTATACATGAATTAGGGGTATATATATAATCACCCCACCCATTCGTTGAACAAATCACCATACATAAACCGAGAACCTCAATATTTGGACAAAAAAACTAGCAACTCATGACAAGTGATACTTGTCATAATGTTTAATTATAACACGTTTATACACTTTATATCTCCAAACTATGGTGAAAAGTACGATACTTGCATAAAATTGGATATAACCAAACACAAATTAGCAATTGATCTTTAATTCCTAAGAATCAGTTCCAAATTAAAAAATAAAGACCACATATCAAATAATAAAATTCACAAAAACGCCAAGATGTTACATCTGTAACATTAATTAGGATTAATATTTATTTGACCTAAGTAAAAATTAGTAAAAAAAGGTCAACAAGTGGGCATTTGGTCTAGTGGTATGATTCTCGCTTTGGGTGCGAGAGGTCCCGAGTTCGATTCTCGGAATGCCCCTTTTTCATTAATCATTTTCTTGTTGGTTTTTTCCTTTTTTTGGGGAATCTTTATATTTGTTTCAAGTTTTTGTGTCAACTCCATCAGGCTTCAAAAATGAGAATTATACCGAACCATTGAAGCAAGCAGGCTTCCGCAATTTTTGTGTGGCTTACTTAATAGTTTATACTATAAATTAATGATCAATCCTTCCCACCTTCAGATATGTATGCAATACTGGTTTCTGTCAATTTGAAACAATTGAAAACCAAATCCTTTTCAACCCTAAATCTTTCC